TATCAGTTGTTTTTGTTCTCTTTGGTGTCAGTTTTGGATTGTTGTGTTCAACTGGGGTTTGGCAAAGTTCTCACCGTATACTCCGTGGACATCATAAAGAAGGTAAGAGAAAATTATTTTATTTTTGATAGATGAATTTTAGATTGCAAAAATAGTATATTTAATAAAAAGAACTGCCCCATTTTTGTACCTTTAAAATTAAAAATCAGTAAAATTCAAGAACTAGTTTTTGTCTCCTCTGTGGACTTTCCCTCCAGACATAACAAGTCCACCGATGAGAAGACACAGTCAATGGAAGAGACAATGTGTTAGATAACCATAATACAATTTCAATAATTAAAAAACTATTTTCTTTTAATTGATATTTTTTAGGATGGAACAAATGTGTTAATTTGTTTGTATTTTTAAGGAAAATCAATTAAGTTTAACTTTTTCTTTTCGGAGAAGTAAATGTTGGCAATTTTTCTAAATAATTTCTGTGATGTTTAACATTTTTTTTCTCTTCAAATTTTAGGAAAAAAATGGCAAAACCAAAATGTAAAAGTAGAAGGCAATCAAATGTTCAAATGCAAAAGAGTAGGGAACAGAAAAAACTTAATATGAGACAAGCTAGGCAGAAATTAAAAGAAAACCCTATATAGCTTGAAGTAAAAAAAAAAAAAATTAAAAAAAAGAGCAAGAAACTTTAAAATTTGTATCAGAAAGATTTAACTGAAAAATCTTGATTAAATGTACTTAAATTTCTAGAAATTGATAGAGCAAGCCGATTGTGCCCAGGGAAAAAAGAAACAATAACAAGAAAAAAAACAAAAACCTTATTTGGATGACAGTATGTTTAACTTGCATAAAATGTTCATAAAAGAGTACCCTCAAGACTCAACTTTAGTTTTTACATTTTAATTTATTAATATTCAGTAAGAGTTACTTAAAAATTGTACACCTAGGTTAAAAATGGATGTTTCCTTTCATAGCAGCACGATTAATCGGAAGTAGGTCCATCTCTAATAATGAAATATTTTATTATTCACTTATTAATGTTAAACTCATATCAGTTGTACCCAATAATTAATGAATTAGTTGATATTTTATAACATAAAATGTATCCTCCGTTGACTATTACATCTCCTCCGTGGACAAGGCAGAATTTAAAATATTTTAAATCTTGCAAAAAATAAAATAGATAACTTGACCATTATTATAAGGACATATAACAAAAATAAATAAAGGCATTTATGTAATTTTTATCACTTTTTTAATTACTTTAATTCAAGAAAAATGTTTTAGTCTATTTATACCTTTTCAGTGAGAATGACCCATATATAAAAATAATTTGTTGATTTAAAGCAATGAACGCTGGTAGATATGCTAATACATAACAAGGTAAGTAAGTGGCATACAGGTCACCAGCATTAAGTTTATAGGCGACATGTGAAATTGATGTCTTTGTTGCAAGACAGTTGTACCAATGTTGTGGACCCTCTCAAATAGAAATCTCCAGTAACTGTCTTGAGTGCCCTTTTGTTGCCTTGACCACATCTCTGAACTGTTTCCATGGACTAAACCCTACATTTCTCAAAACACAGAGGTCTCTATAAGCATGGCCTAAATCTAATCTGCCATCATCTTTAAGTGCAGGGACCCCATAATATTTACGAAGTAAGTATTCCCCAAATCCGACAAGCTTTTGGGGGGAAGTTATCAGTTTCTTCACTATTACAGTTAAGGGTTTAATTTTGCGAGTTTCAGAGAAATATGTTGGTAAGTAGGAACTTTATTTACATCGCACTAGAGCTACACAATGGGCTATTGGAGACTGTCTAGGAAACATCACTGAGGATGATCCTCTGAAGAGGGTATTACTCCCCTACGTAGGCTGGTCAAAGTGGTCACACTGACTGCTGCTTAACTTTGGTGTTTTACAGGAAAGAGTGTCTTTACGATCAGTCCACTGCGGGACAATGTAATTAAGTATTTCGATTTCTTGAATGCCTCTATCATTACGTTAGTTTTAAAATAGAGTTGGTACTCAAATCTGAAGAAAAACAATGTCGTACACAATATATTAAGAGGAAAGAGATAACTGAAGTGCTCGTGTGTGAGCTATATTAAAATCACTATACAAGTTTTAATAGCAGGAAAACGCAGAGAAACTATTCAATATGCTTAAAAAAAATTAAATACTATATTTCAATTAAATAGTATAGCATAGATGAACTATATATGTCTTGCACGTTTTGTTTGAGAGGTTGGCATTTTTTAAAAAGAAAATTCTTTGCATTTTCCTGGTTACTTTAGATGATTTTCAATTTTCCTGCATTTTTCAGGTTACCCGTTCCCTGTGGAGTAGCAACTTTGCAAAAGCTCGTTTTCCATTTCAATTAATTGAAAAGTTTATAATTCTTCAGTCTCTCTTTCTTTCTCTTAAGTTCAGATCTGCTTTTATCTTAAGTTTAGTGGTTAATGATGGATGTCTTTTGGGTGGATTTTCTCAATTTCAATCCTCATTATTATCACTGACTGACAGGGTCATTCAAATTAATTTTTAATTTAAAAAATAAATAAATGACAATCAAATTCTTAGTCATCAAGTAATGGCAATTCAAAGAATATTAAATATTCCTTTTCGGGGAAACAATTTTATAAGAATTGCCATGTAGTTTTTAAAAGAAAACTATTGCGACAGACAGAACAGCAAGAAAATAAACATTTTCTAATCTTGAGACTGCACAGCCATCCATACTCATTGAGAAATATTTCAGTCAGAAAATTTTTTTTTGTCCATATTTATTGCCGAAAATCTGAAATCTTATATTACTAAATCAATATTTAAAACTGAATAAAAAGATTTTTCAAAAAGTAAGCTTTCAGAAAATAAAGGGAAAAATATATTTATAAGAAATATTAATCAAGAATAAAAGCATAAAAAAATGAAAACAATTTTATAAAATGTCAGAAGAAAGTCTATCAGAAGTTTTTTTAAAAATTGCTGCACTATCATAAAAACACCCAAGAGATTATAAACAAAAGCTAAACAGACATTGACAGAGAATTACTAAACATTTTTCACACTTTCATTATTTTGTATTAGTTTAGGTCAATTATTAGAATTTTAATAAATTTATGGTTATGAAATACAGCAATGAACAGCAATGTCTTTCTGCAGCTTTCAAACAATAATTTCAAAGTTGCATTTATTTGGATTTAAGAGAAACAGTTGTTTGACTCTGATATTTCTTTAATTTACAAAATCAATCATTGATCGATTTTTTAATGAGAAGGGAAAAAAAATTAAAACTACTTTTTTGGGAGATTTATATTTTAGTACAAATATAATTTTGATTATCTAACATAGGATGAATGATGGGCTACTTGTACAGCAGGTTGATTGATCGGCAGCATGCTCAAATTTTAGACCTCTTGACTGCAATAATGGTAATTTTTATTGCTTCAGACAATTTTTTAAAATTCAGTCAATTTAGTTATAAATTAAAATTTATTCATACCTGAAGAATATAAAACAGATACTTTATAAAAATTTAAATATTTTTTTCAAAGCGTTAATTTATCCAAAATATACAAAAATGGGTGACATTAATAGAATACTTGTAACGCTCTTCTAAAATTCAGTCATATTATAAATGTTAAAGGTAATAAAAAAAATAAAAATGGAAATAAACTCTGTTTTTAAGCAAAAACCCTTAGAAAACTGGTAACAAACTTGTTATACAGGAAAAAAAAAAGTGGCAATAAAAGAATAAAGGAACACTTTGTTAAAATCTCCTGTCAGCAATAAAACTCTTTCTCAACTCTTAAAACAAAGAAATGACAACATTGACTCGCTTGGTACAATAAACATGTTTTTCATTGTCTTCCAGAAGAAATTTGAAAGCACAAGAATTACAGAGCCTAATAAGTGTAAAAATATGCATAGTTAAAAATAAGATTCTTTTACTAAATCTACTAGATTTAAAAAAAAAAAAAAAAATCACGAAAATAAACTTTCTTTTCCCAAATATTTTGGAAAAAGAGCATACCCAATAGTATCCAAATATCTATTACATCCCTTATGAAAATAAAACAAACATGGACCACAAATGTGGATATAATGTAGAAGGCATGTCAAATTAAATTAGATTTTTCATAAATAAAAAAATTATTCTGACATACCAAAAAAGAGAACTCACCAGAACAAACCAAATTTCTACAAAGTCCTGCACGGAAATCATGGAAGACACGGTTGCGATGCTGCTGTGACATTCTGGCATGTATATAGTAACATGAATAACCAAGTTCTGTTATCTTCTTAGCAAGAAGCTCAACACGCTGTGTGGAATTGCAAAATATGATAGACTGATTGATCTGAAGCTAGAGGGAAGACATTAGAAGGTTTTGTACATAAAATTCCAGGTTAAAAAATAAAATGAAAAGCAAATTCAATGATTCAAATTAAACTATTAGAACTAGCAAATAAAATAATCTGATTTTTTTAAAAATACATTAAAAAAATTATTAACTGATAAGCAAAAATTGCAATTCTAAAGACAATTAAGAAGTGTGCTTCAAAATATCCATGCCACTACCCACCATAAGATAAACTATAATTTGACTTCAGACATTCATCTGGACCTGTGGCAGTGATTATGGTAATGAGGTATGACTATTTCATGTAGGGGTGTGGGGTCATTGTTTAGGGCAGGGACTGGTCAGTGAGAGAAAGGGAATGTTTGGTCTATTGTGTTAGCCCTAAAGTGAAGCTAACCTTTCATCTTCATCCTTATAAATCTCGACTAAATATGATAGAATGATTTTAAAAGAGATTTCAAGGGTGGAAATATTTTGTTTGGATCAAAGTAAGAGGCATTTTAAACAATAGAATTTAATCATTTGAAAAGTCATGAAAGCACATTTCCAATAATCTTCCAGAAATATTTACTATAGTTGTTAATGAGATCGCGGAATTTGTTTCGAACAAGTTAAATATTAGCTAACTATTTATCATTTCTTTTGTTGCAATGCTAACCTTTTTTTTGGGAGAAATTTTAAATGGTTAGGTTATTTCATAACACCAAACAGATGGTTATATAAAAAATTTAAATTATTTAATTTTAAGATTTTTTTGCTTTGTTTTGTTGCATTAACACAGATTTAGTTTTAGAGTTTGAGATAAAATTCAGATCTGTAGTTAACTTTTTCAAGTAAATTGTTTAGTAATGTTGTGCTAAGTTAACTCCTAATGAGAGCTTTATATTCATTATTTTAATTGTGAATTTTGGCTAAAATAAAGCCATAATATTTGAGAATATTAAGGATAAATAACTTACAAAAATACCTTTAAAAATGAATAAATAATTTATAGGTCGAAAAAACTTTTTAATGCTTTCCCCCCTATAAAAATTACCCTTGGCTACCCCCTATAAAAACACACATTTTTAAAAAAAATATGAACAATTAAGAATTTTTCCATCTTACAGTACAACAAAAAAGAACTTCTAAAACCTAATTCAATTTTAATGCAATCATAAAAAAAATATTAATTAGCTTCATAGAAGTGATAAAGCAGTTTTTATGTTTTATCATAATGTATAAACTTTTCATAAATTATATCTTACACTCTGCTTAAAAAAATCAATAACTCTTTTTAAGCTAGAAAAATAAAATTAAGCTACAAAAATAAAAAAAATTCCTGAATACTGATAGTTTTCCATAGATGGATTAAATTGAAATTATAGTTTAAATCACTACAAACTGTCTAGATATTCAGAAAGTGCAAATAAAGTTAGGACATTGTTATGAAATTATGGTTATTAAGAACATAATTCCCTATGAATTAAAAATATTTTTAGGTTTTATGAACCCCAATCAGCAGCGTGTCCTTCATAGGAAGATACTTTCATCCAAATTAAAGGCACATTCAGAAATTTAATGAAATTCAATTTATATAAATTATATAATTAAAGCATAGTTATCAAATTAATTTAATTTTAACTGTTACGAAGTTTATTTGAAAAACAATTTACAATTATAGTAAAAACTAATGATCTAGTACAGTAAAATTTTAAAAACCCACAATGAAAAAACAAGGGTTTTAAACTGGGCCCACCCCCCAAAAAAATTTCTTAAAAAAATATAGAAAACAGATTTCTAGTGTAAGGGAATTGAATTTTTTAAATAAAATTAAAACAATTTTGGGTTTGCACGAAAAGCATGCAACGTAATGAAACATTGCATGTAACTTAGATTAAAAACATCTAATTTAGATAGTCTGTTAGTTTTCTGGATATGTCCATTTAGAATAAACTTCATCTTAAAATTAGCTGCAAGAATTTATGATTCTCATGCATTCAACTTGTGGACTACCAGTGTTGATCAGACATGGCCTTTGTCTGCAGTACATGAGCATTTAAACTCTAGTTATATTCTTTCTTTTAATGGACATTACTCTGTTAATCAGAATGCAATGTGTGTGTGTTTTTTAAAGCGTTTTAATAATTTTTCATGGACGTTTCTGTTATAATGAAAGTATTTATTCAAATTAATATTGTTTATGGCTATTTTGGCTGCCAAAAGTAAATAGTTTAGTGCATGATTTGTATTTTGAGTGTCAGGATTTTAAAAATAGAGAAAAATGCTCTATTTTTGTGAAAAAGAGAGCAAAACAAGACAGATATATAGGTGGAAAAAAAGGAGGATATTCTGCATTGATTAGATAATTTTTTCTGTTACAAATCAATGTAACAAAATAGCTACTCATTAAAAGAAGTTTTCAAAAAAAAAAATAATAAATTTTGAAAAATAATAATTTTTCTCAAAAAATTTTCTAAATGCTTGAGATTTGGAAATTTCTTTTTATGTAAAAAATTTTACACTTTAGTTTTTGCCACAGCATTTGAATGCAGAATTTTTCTAAGAGTCTTGTGTTCTTAAGAGTTTTATCTGAAGTTACGCTATTCTCCTACAAATCAGCTTAAAAAGAAAAATTATGTATGAACTCTTAAAAAAAAAAAAAAAAGTGCTGCTAAATGAATAGATGTCTCATTTTCAGGATTTTTTGAAAGATGCGAGATTAAAATTATAGATTAGTGGAAGTGCGAGAAAATAAATTTATACTTGCTAAATTAGCAATTACTAAATAGATTGCTTCATATGTTCTACATTCTGATAAAATTAGAATTAGCTTGATTGTCTTTACAGTATTTGAGATGAGTTTATACTCTGCTTTTTTCTTTTTTTTTTTTTAAAAAAAAAAAATAAAGATTAAATTTCAGTCCTTAGAGTTGGCAGAACCGATTTTTCGCACCAAATTGAAAACTTAAATGCAGATATACTATGTAAAACAAGCAATAAAGTCAGAACAAGAGGAAATAGTAAAATCGTTAATAGCTAAAAGGTTAAGGAACTTCCGAACAGATTTAGTTAATCTTAACATTAACTTGTATATCTTTTTTGTCTTGTTATTACTTCTCAAAATAAATTCAAGAGGTACAGGCTTCAATGAATGAGATCAAATATTTGTAACTATCCTTTGCATTCCCAGTGGATCCAATCTATAAAACTTATGGATTTTTCACTTTTTAAACATTATTTAGCTTTTGAACATTTCTTTTATCTATTTGTGAATGAAAATATATATACAATCAAAGAAGGTCCAAAATGAATTTTATAACTATTATATTAAAATAGCCTCTTTCACCCTTGACTTTGAATCTTAAAAATGACTTGTAGGGGAAAAAAACCCTAATAATCTTAACCTCTTTATATGCCTAACTGCAAATTTCTTAAAGATATTTCCCAGTCAGAGAAATAAAGCAGAAAATTTTTCATGCATTTTTTTCTTTTTGCATAAATGTATTGTGGTAGCCAAAATAATTCAAAACCAAATAAATTTTACCAATACACGGATGTGATGAATTATGCATAAATATTAGCAACTACATGTACTATATTAAAAAACATCCACAGCATTTAAAATACATACCTTTGAAAACAAAGTATTCAGACAGTGAACTTTTTGCCTCTCCTGCACAAAGGCATAATACTGTGTAACTCCTTTAAGGGTTAATTCGTCCATCAAATTGATTTCATAGGGATCTGACAAATGTTTTCGCTGCAATACAAAGACATAATTCTCAGTGATTCTCTAGTAAAAATGCAAAAGCCAATGTAAAATGTGTTTGATATTTCATGCAACAAGAGTTTATTTATATAGTATTTATTGTTTTTGTGTTGTAATAGTTTAATTTGAAGCATGCTTAACTTAGTTTTTCTTCACGTATATTTCTGCTCTTCATTAAAATAATCCACTTATTTGGAACAGAAATGGATAGAAAAATTTTTTTGGTCAAAATATCTGAATTATTGGTAAATACTTTGCTATAGTTTTATTTAAAGACTTCATTATATTAATTTGTAAAAAACAAAGACACCATTTTGGACTACTATCTCTTTTGTATAAAAAGACAGAAAAAGTAATGAAACTTAAGAGTTGCTAAAAGTATTTTATACATCAAAATCGCTTCTTATTTTATTTATTTAAAACTTATATTTTAAGTTTTATTTCTTTAGAAAATTCTGTAATCCAATGTTCTTTATGCAGTTATGAAACAAGTCATTTATAAAATTTCTTTTAAAAAATAGCTCTCATACAAAATCATAAATAAAAATGCAGGGTTTCCATTCAAATCTGGAAAAAAAAATTTGCCCGTGTTTACCCTAAACATATATATGAGGAAAAAAAAGGAACAGCTGAACATACTTAAATAATGCTTAAGTAAATGAAATAGTTTAGTACAGTTGAAATATCCTTAAATATCCCAGACTTTAAATATCCATCCACTTTGGGTAGTTACCATCTTTTAAAAGACAAAAATAGGAAACAAAATTCCCCGTATTTTCAGAGTTTCTAAAGAAAAACTCACAATTCCCTGCTATTTTAGGTGATTTTTAAATTATCTGTATTTTCCAGGTTTTCCCTGTGGAGTGGGAACTCAGAAATGTTAAGCGAATCTCTTATTTTTGCTCATAAATATAATTTCAATACTATTCTGCAATTCACTAATTGTAGCAGAATAACACAATCTAAAATTACATTCAATGCGTAATATATACATTACCATAAATTGTTCTACTGTGAGAGGAAATGTTGCGGAGTAAAGAAGAATTTGCCTATCATTTGGCAAATAGCTGATGACTTTGTCCAATATTCCTTTAAAATCTTGAGAAAGCAGTTTATCAGCCTGGAATATCAACATTAAAATAAACAAACATGACAGCTTTATATTCATCATACTCTATGAAAAATGGTCTCACAATACTTTAAATAAAAGATTGGTACTCTATAAAAAAAAAATAAAAAAAAAAACCAAGGTTTCTACATCTCTGTTGATAGCTTAATTCTGCAAAATTTTGATTTAAGTAATGCTTTGCAATAAACTATAACATGAAAGTGATAATTTATTCTTTAATGGGGCACTATAACTATTATTCTCTAAAACATTTTTGAATTAAAATTTTTATTTTTTTAATCTTGTCATATACTGTCTAAAGTTAGTTACTATAGTACTCCATGCACAACAATTAACATTGAAGACAAATATAACCAAACTTATTTAGGCATGTTACTTTCTGTTGGGCATGCAATGATACTGCTGTGATTCCTTTGAATAATAGCAGTGATTATGGAAATCAATTTTAATAAAAACCTCTGAAGTAAACAAGTCCCAAATGATGCCAAACACTATCAGTTGATCATTGAACTTTAGAGCTCACAGATCGTTATAAGGAAAGGTTTTACAAGTGAAATTTAAGTTAATGCAATATATAAAATTAAATAGCTCACAATTATTTTAAGTATACAATAAATTTGATTTCATTTGAGATTTAGTCATTTTTTTAACAAGAAAACTAATCGCTTAAATTATTAAAACCAAAGTAAAAAATTACTTGTCTGCTAAAAGTGTACAGTAGTAATTTCATCTAAAGAAGAGAACTGAACTTTTTAACACTCACTACTTCTTTTAAAACAATTCCACTACCTTGTCCAAGACTCCAACATTGAGTTAAATATGCAAAATGTAATGAGAAACATTGATAAATTCAGTTTTTGTAAATTGAACATAACTTTTTGGATTCACTTACACAACTTATTGTGTTGTAAAAAAAATTCTCAAAAGAAGTACAATATTTTAAATGGAAGAGAGATTTTTTTTTTTTATAATAAATGTATTTGAAACTGCCCACTCAATTTCTGGAAGAAAATTTTTTTTTTTTCCAGGTATATCAGGTAAATTTCACAACAAAATCCATACCATATTTTTATCTAAACCATGAAAACTTTAGATCAGATCAGATTTATTTGCAATGCCAAATATTAGATTTTGTGACAAAAAAACATTAAATAAGGATGGGAACATGTCAATTTAATGCGGTAGAATTTCATGCACCTAATTAATTCAGCTTTATAAGCTTCATCTTTAATGCTCAGTATACCTAAAAGATGAGGCACTACCAGATATTGAAAACTTGTTTGGATTTTTCTTAGCTGCAAAATTTGACTTTTGTTTTTCAGTCAGAATGCCTTTCATCATAATAAAGGATTTCAGCATAAAATCCTTTTTCAATATTGACAGGGATCAAATTATGTTCCCCTTGCATATCCCCCACAAACTTGCGTTCGAATCCTTCATACTAGCACGGATGCCACAGAAAAAATGAACAAAATAGTTGCTTTTAGTAGCATAAAGCATGAAAATAGTTGCCTAAATAAGAACAAAAATTTTTGAATAATATGACTAAAATTTTATGAAATGACTTCATCATTGTAACATACCATGATCTATTTAGTCAAGTTGACTGCCAATATGATAATTTTTAAACAAACATTAGTGTTCTAGCACTAAATTTTTATATAAAAAAAATTAATACATTTACAGAACATTAAATACTTTTAAATGCTAGAATTTTTGCAAAAAAATGATCTTTAGTGAAAAAAAAATATTAATTTTCCCTTTTATCAATAATTGATTTAGCAAATATATATATTGAAAAAGTGATTACTAAAATTTGAAATTCAAGCATCATAGTATCGTATAAAAAATTGGGTTCTTTAAAATCATGCAGAGCTTCTTAGCAATAACTGTTGAAAAGGTGATCGAGAAACAAAATAGATTCACAATGGAATCTGCGCAAATTGAGTGCATTAAAAAGTGATTACTCAAATTTGCAATTCAATATTTTTTATTTTTTGAAGATGAAAAAATTCATTATGTTCAGAAGCTAACGCGGGCCGCAGGTTGTCAACCCAATTTATGCTTAAAAAAAACAGTGCCAGGAGCACAGAAAAGTCTCCAATAGTCTTCTTTTCCAGAAAATAGTTACTTTTATAGCCTTTTCAAGCAAAAAAAGTAGCCATAGTTGCCTCAGGTTGAAAATAGTTGCAAATAGTCGCATTTTAGTCACCTGTGGCAACCCTGTACTAAACCATTTACATTTTCCCATTTGATAAAAATTTTTTTTAAAGTTTTGAATGTTCTAAATATTTTTATCCAGTAAATGCTAACTTCATTTAACTTTTTAAAACAAATTATTTAAAAAACAAAACATTCATCAGGAAAAATTAAATCAAAATGGTTGGGCTTATGTGTGGAGAAAACATTATCTGTTGGGATAGAACTAAGCTTTTAATTCTTAACTTGGCACAAATTTGCTTAGCTTATAGCTCTAATTAATCTGAAGAGATGAATTTCTTTAGTGAGGTCATAAGTGAGTGAGAGTAAAAAAGAGGGACATAACAGAAATTTCATACTACACACTGAAATAAAAATAAATCATTTTTCATATGACTAAAAAATTTAAATAGAAATTGTGGTTACACCACGCGTCAAACTGAGTTTTGGGAAAAGTTGGACCCTTTGGGAGGCCTGAAATTTATAATATAAGTTATTCTCATACAGAGCTCATTCTAGGCAGGGTAAACAGGGCGCAGCACCCTGTTGCCCTTTTAGTCAACAGAATCCACCCTGCTGCCCTTTTAGTCAAAAGAATCCACCCTGTTGCCCCTGATGTAATAGACTCTAACCCTTTCTTTGCTCAATCCTTCTTTATTTTTCTCCAAACTGTACAATGGATTTCTTAAATTTTCAACAATTTTTATTTAGTTTGTCATTGCTGTCAATACATAGATTTATATGGGAAAAGAAAAATAGCCATCATACCCCATTGTTGCACTTGTCTTAGAAAGTTTGCAGTTGCTTCCACTATCATTAAATCATAATTATTATTAATCAATTTAATTATTAAATCATAACTACAGACACTTACATTTATTATTTTATTAATATATGAAAGCATTTTAAATAAATTACTAAGTTAATTAGCTCAATAACTCGATATATATGTTAATTTATTAATAAAAATGAGTAAATATGATTGCTTTGCTACTGTTAGTAAAGTAAAAAAAATTTCTTTCACTAATTGACAATGTTTTTTCATAGAAAGTGAAAAGCTCATAGAAAGAAATTATTGCCCTTTTAGAATAATAATGCCCTTTTTTTAAACGTTTGCACCCTGCACTTTTTTCTGCCTAGAATGAGCTCTGTCTCATAAAATAAAAAAAATTTAAAAAACTTATATATTTATAATGAGTCACTGGATATCTATAGGCTATACTTAAGAATTACATCAACTAAGAAGAAAAACACTAATATTAACCTCGTCCAGAATAAGACAAGAACAGCGATCCATTTTTGCAACATTTTTCTCCATCAGATCTAAAATTCGTCCAGGAGTAGCTATGATTATGTGGACTAAAAAAAAAAATTTCAATTAGATCACTCATTACAAGTTTTCCTTAATAATGTCTATTTGAATGAATTTACCGTTTTCATAGATTCGCATGATATCATCTTTCAAATTTGTGCCTCCAGTTGTAACCATTACCCTTGCTCCTATATGTTTTGATAATTCAATACAGATTTGACTGGTCTGAAGAGCTAATTCTCGAGTTGGAACTATAACCAAAGCTGAAATAGAATTACAATTCCATGAACAATTCAGTCACATCTAAACTAAGCACTTTCTGCGTGTCAGATCAATTAGTTCATGCTATTTTTAAAAAAAAATTAAATTCAATTAAAATAAGGTTTTTCCTACTAACACATTTAAAATAAAGAAAATGTATTTCCAAACATTTTCTATGATCCATTTCCATAGATAGTTATGAATAATAAATTCCCTTATTGTAATCAAGTATATGAAAGGATACAAATGGTAGATTACACTTTATTCATTTAAGAAAATTATGCTGATAATATAAGTCAGTGTTCACCTCTTATTTTTCTCTTTGCTTTCAAGCCAGAAAACAGGAATGTCTGAATTACGAAAATACGAGCTATCTGGAGGACTAATAAAAAACGGAAAATCTTATTTTCTGTGCATAAAAATGAAGAAAATAGCTAAAATGCGGAAGGGTTAGGAACTAGAACATAGTTTGAATTTTCTGTTTAGCTTTGACAATCGTAAATAAATATACTTATTTTATTTCAACAACTGAACTTAAAAAAAAAAAAAACAGCACATTTATAAAAAAAAATTTTAAAAAAGAAGAAACTTTTAGAGAATTGGAGTTTTTGATAAAAAGACTAAAATTCGACAATACTTTCGCTCCGTGGAAAATTAAATTCCTTATAAAATATTTTAACTTGTGGGGAAAAAAAAAATTTTCGCGGAAATATCTGGGAAAAAAAAAAGAGCGGAAATCTGCGAATCCGCGGAAGAATCACATCCCTGTGAAGTGTAATTTTAAATCGCATGAATATTGCAGTTCAGTTACATACATGCAGATGAATGAATAATGAAAATGCTGAAAGGAAAACTGATAAACCACATTTATTGTGTAATCTATGGCAACAATCAAGATGCAAAATAAATCTCATTTTGGAAAAGCAAAAAATAAAGTATGCACTTTATAATGAAGCACATTTAAGGGCTTTTAAATAACAAAAGTCAAAAATAGGCACTTCTTAAAAATGCTACACTCATTATCTTTTTTTTTAAAAAAAATTACTAAAACGTTAAGAGTGGCAACAGAATGTGATATTAAAAAACAGTCAATTTTCCAAAAAGAATAGAATTCATAAAAGCTCACCGTATCAAGCTTTCGCTCAGCTAATGGATATGTACAGATAAATTACTCTATTTCATTTACCAAACATTAAAAATTAATACTTTCATAAGATACCAATGTTGTAAAAAAAATTAGCAAACACGTACAGGTCTTTTAACTGCAAAATTTAGGAATTATTTTTATAAAAATCAAAAATATTTAAATTATAAGAATAAATAGAGAGAATAAATGTTTACGAAATAATGAAAATAAAATACTTACCTTGAATATAATCTTTTGTAATATCAATTTTCTGAAGAATAGGAATAATGTAAGCACCAGTCTTTCCAGTGCCATTCTTAGCTCTAGCTAAAATATCCCTTCCTAATAGAGCAATAGGAATGCTAGCTTCTTGAATTGGAGAAGGCTTCTCCCAACCTTTCTCAAATATACCCATTAAAAGTTCTCTCTTCAAACAAAAATCTTCAAATTCATTTCCTTTTGTGTCTGTCACATCCTATTCATTTGAAATCATTACCATTATTCTCACAAGTAGATTTTACTATAACACTTACAATACTCAGCCCATAGAATTTTTTTTAAAAAGGCAATTTTTTCATAATTTTTGTACACACATTTTAAACATGATTGAAATTAAACCAAAATAGTCAAAAATTAAAATAAGACTACTAATGTCCAACTAGCATGGCAATAGCAAGATAAAATTATAATAAAGTATATTATGAAACTAAGATCAAATAAAATATATTTGGTACAATTTCAGGGCCTCCACTGAAGTTAACATTCAATAATAGTTGCTCCCACAGTTCAAAAATGTACAAAATCTTGTATTCTGGAAAGTAGATTTTTCGGTCTTTAAGGTAAACATAGGAAAAAGAGTCAAATTTCTTAGGCATAGTTTAATAATAAATTGAAAGTAACAGATAATTTGTACTTTCACGGATAAAGAACTTTGTTCTTTTCTTTTTCCATTTGATGCAAAGAATAAGCGAGGCAGATAAATATTAAAAACTCATACATCAAATACTTTAAAAAGGAAAAGATTTGTCTATTTTTATTGTTAAAAAGTAGTCCGGAAAATACAAGTATTTGGATAAGGAACTTAGTAATTATTTTATCAGCTATTTAACAAAGGAGCAACAAATGATAATTTGAATATAATAGGTAATTAAAGCAGGGAACAAAAATTTGGTTCGAAAAATTTCACTAATATTTGTTAGTTCGATCTCTGAGCTTAAGTTTAAAATAAATAATAAGACCTCACATTTCAAACCTTTATTTTCCTCATTATACACCAGGTATATATATATACACATACAGTAGAGTCCCGACCAAATGTTTCAAGGATTTTCCTTTTATGTTCCAGTTTATTTTTAAAAACTATTGCCGAAAAAAATTCTAAATTTTATATTCCAAACAATCAGGAAAACAAGCTGACGGACAACCCGAGATTACCAATGAAATTATAGCTAATATCGTCAATAACGAATCTAGTGAAGATGAAGACAGTGTCGAAAATCAACATATTAATATTCTCATACAGATGGACAAAAAGCTATCAGAAGTGCTATTGAATATATTAAACACCAAGGAGACACCAGCATTCCTATTAAAACATTATTGCAGAAAAGCGTCAAAGAATTACAAAACAAAAAATGATTAAGGACTTCTTTTAAGTAAAAATTCTAATTCTCGTAGAGTAAGCTCTTTAAGTGTTTTTAAGCTTTTTAATTATAATATGAATCATATGTGGTGTACTCCTATAAATTTGGATTTTGTTAAATATAGTACATTTATACCCACTCTCTCCTTTTTTTATACTCTTCGCTTTAACAGAGTTTTTCGGTTATCCGAGTCAGTTGTGGTTCACATAAACTCGGATAATCAGGACTCTACTGTATATATATATATCAGGTAGCAGAATTCATAGTGAATCTGCAGCACTATCTGCTTAAATCCAAATAGGTATGAAACCTCAATGCAGTTAAAGATTAATATTGTAAGAATTCAGCTTAATTTAAACACTCATAACTAAATTTAGAAATATATAGAAATTAGACTTTTGTGGTTTGAATTTAATTTTATAGAAAGATGCTAAAAAAATCTGTAAACTTAAGTTGTAACAAATTTAAAAAAAATTTTTTTTTTATTCCAGGATTTTATTCAATTGAAGTCTAATAAAATATCAGAATATGTATGAATTTCATAGCGTAGCAAATTACGTCGGAAATGTTATTTTGTAACATTAATAACTTGGGATATGAGCTATATTTTATTTTTTAATAATATAACTTATTTAAGTCCAAAAAGAACCTTTCAGGTGAGTATTTTAAGCAAATCATACCATTAAACAATGAATGTTTTAATATAAGAAATATTACTCAAAAACACTCAAATTAAGAAAATAACCCATATAAACTTAAGGAAAAATTGAAACTTTTACAGAAAGAGTTAAGCAAAAAAACTAATTCCTCCTTCCTGAGTATTTCTGGATATTTGAAGTATATAAACTTTGATTTGAAGTATTTATTTTTAAATACTTCTACAAATCTTTCACAGCCTGGGAAGATGCCTCAAAATAAATTTCAAAAAAAGCAAGGGAAAAATATTTGTTTACTATAACACAAATCAATAAATTATCAATTCGGCAAACAAATATACTTCCCTAAATAATTAAAAGGCCTAAAGTGGTTTTCAAATCAATTATTCCTTCCTGCATATTTTCTTTTCTTCAGTACTAACACATTTGAAAGCACAAAAGAAAATAATTAAGCATACATGAAAATTAGCTGCAAAATTACTGAACCAAATTGTAAGAGTAGAAAGTTAATTTTGTCATGTGACAGATATTTTAAATTAGCATACAAAATATTGACAAAATTAAAGCAATATTTTCATGTTTCTTACAAAATTGAAAATTTCAACTTTTTTAACGGTATGCAGTTTTGAAAACATTTTCAAGGAAAGAAAAGTTTAAAAAACATTTAAATTAAGATAAAAAATCAACACTTACAGAAGTTTTTTTTCTTTTATCCTTTGGAGGAATCTTCAGTTTCGCCTTCCATCCCAGATCATCTGCCATCATATCTCTTAAAATTAAAAAGAAAATGAAATTAGAAAAACAAATATCAAATAACTAAATAACAACCTCAAAAATATAATGAAAGAGAACAAAAACTCAGGATCTCTTCATTAAGTCATTCTTTTTACGAGTAGTACTTTTCTTCTTATATAACAACTATTTCTTATCTTAATTTTCTACAATACAGGAGGTACACAACCTTTTTAAATTAGCATTATAAAATCTATAAATTACTCAAAAGGAATAACCAATTGGAATTATTTAGAACCAAAACATAGATTTGAACTCTTCTTTGCTTTTCAATTAAGTATTCCCTTATTCTATAAAAATACAAAATGTTTAATTAAATTTCTCCAGGAAAGATAATATAACAGTATCAGGTTATACTTTAGAATTATAAAATTTTATAAAGCAAAAATAAAAATTTTATAAATCACCTTTGTACTGTACTGTGAATACCAAGTATAGCAGCACTACTCGATACTCGAAAGGCTTATTTTTAGTCTTCTTCAATCACATGACCCGGATTTGAAATTTTTTTTTGATCAAGTTTTTAAAAGTATTTAGAGGTTATTTATTCTTATATTTTTGAAATTTTTATATTTTTGAAAAAAAAAAAAAAAAACAATTTTAATGAAATTCTAATTGTTTTTTCATTAATTCTACAGGGTGCGTAGCCAAATCTTTCAACAAAAAATAAGCTTCTTTTAAGTACTTTTTAAGCACCCAAAAAATATTTTTAAGCACTATTATACATTAACAAAATGAAAAATAATTTTCAAAGACTTTTGATGATCATGAGAAAATAACTAGTTTCCGACAAAGAACTCTTTTCTTGATTATATCAGCCGTTATAAAATAATCAATAGATATTTCGGTTCGATATCAGAGGGTGGAAAATTAAGTCTGCAATTGAGAACATCTTGCAAAATGCAGTAGAGTTGCACATAAGAAGGCAATAATCTCACCAAACCCAGCTCAGTAGACACACATACGAACTCACAAGTGGTACCGACGGTATGCCGAAATGAACTGTGAAAACGTTTAATAGAACAATGTGAAAAACATGCTTTTGTATAATACATGGTAAAAATAGACACGGTAAAGAGAAAAAATCTTTTTTGAAAAGGGAAAAATTAAGCACTTTTTAAAAATTATTAAGCACTTTTTAGGCTTTTAAATAACTAAAATAATCACCTTGAAGCACTTTTTAAAAATGCTACGCACCATGTTCTAGCTGTATATTGGTGATAAAATTGAGAGTCTTTAAGATTCAACAATCCATGGATGCAGCTGGTGATCAAAAATCAAGAAATTGAAAATCTAGCATAACAAAATGAAGGTCATTGAGAAGACATCTATGAAAAATGTTTGCTTTAATTTGATTAAATTCCACTTTCTTCTTAAAATATAAAAAAAAATTAGACATGCCATTGTCAAGTCCCCTGTGGCAGAATCGTGGCGACATAGTCGCAGAACAGAGTTCTTACAAAAAGATTATTTAGGAAGCAAACAGGTTTCTTTTCTGCAGAACTTTTGTTTTCCTTTTCTGCAGAATTATTTTCTAAAAATTCCTTTCTAGCATAATGTAAATTCAGACAAACCTAGAGAAAGTCAAAGTTTTAACTGCTGAAAAAAAAAAAACTTTAAAATATTAAAAGGCAAAAAAGTTTAGAAGATCTAAAGTTCTCACAATTTATTTACATTTGTATAGCTTAAAAAAAAATTTTTTTTTTAGTTATTTGAAACTTCATGGCTTACTCCAGTTTTGTCTGAACTCACTTTTTCTACACTTTAAATTAGTTAGAATTAAATTAGTTTAAATTAATGAAGGAGAAAGAATTTGACAGGAAACTTTTTCTTCAGAAATACAGAGTCCTCTTAATTGTTAATTATTCATACACTTTACGATTTCCCTTTCAATTTTCAACAAGAAAGCTTAATAAATATGCCAATTGAAAAAAAAATATTAAGATATCTTCTAGATTTCCTTAGCATAAGTGGGTGTTTCTTTTATACTTTAAACATAAGTTAAAAGTTCTTAGGATTGCATCTGGAAAACAAAACTACTTTCCCTGTATGCATTATAAGCAATATATTAAAAGGAAATACACAATCACTGTGTTCTTGAGTGGGTCATAATTGTCTAGATATACTAATTGCTAGAAACATCTTAACACACTTAAAACAAATAATGCTATAGAAAATGAAATAGTTTAGTGTAGCTGAAATATCATCCTTGCATGTCCAATAGATTGCACTTTGAAAGGTCACTTTTAAAAGACTAAAATAAGAAACAATATTCTCTGTATTTTCCTAGTTTCTAAAGAAACACTGAAAATTCCCTATTATTTAAGGTGATTTTTAAATTCCTTCTATTTTCCAGGTTTTCCCTCTTCTCAATGTTGAGTGGCAACCCTGGGTTCTCCAATAGGAAGCTTTTGGAGCCTGCTCCAAACTGTTCTGACAATGCTGCTCCGAAACAAACAAACTTTTAACAGATTTCACCTGAAGAAAATAGTAGAGATATTCTATTTCCTGTTATAAACAATTTTCTATTGAACTCACACTTGAAAACTTTTCCTTTTCATACTATATATTTCCAAATCCTGCACTGACCGTATTTAGCTTAACAATTTTTTCATCAAAATATAAATTTATATAAAATATGCAATTAGAAACTTAGAATTTGCTTATGTATTTAAAAGTAGATCGATCAAGCCACATTTAGTGGTAATGTTTCCCTAGTTTGTAAAAATAGTGAATTTCATTTAATTCTTTAAGGTTTTACTTTAATTTTTTAAAAGAAATATTTAAACTTCGCGATCGCAATGCTCAAACATGTTATTCTTCACCCTTCCTTCTCCTCTTCTCAGTTGTATAGAAATGTGATATGATTATTTCCCTTTTCTTAGTATTTTTCAAATTTAATTATCTGATACATTTTACAAAATTTCCAAAAAGCTTGTTTTTGTATCTATGTTCAATGTAGTTCTCGATTCCATATAGTTTCCTCACCTATTCGAAAATCTAGAGAGAAACTCTCTACACGCTTATGGTGAAAGCATGAAAAGTGCAACCACAGGTAGAGAGTTCTGCTTTATGACACTCATAGCCCATTTCGATAGCCAATAATGATAAAAGAATTATTAAATAAAGAATGAAAATGCTGTGTGAAAATTAATTTAAATCAACCGAAACCATTATATGATGAACTAAGTTGAAGAAATTTGGAGCGGTTTCCAAAAGCTATGTCACGAAACAGACCCAATGTTAATAGGTCCCTATGATTATAAATATTGCAAACAATATCTATTCTGATTCAGTAAATCAGCATTTCTAGCAATAAGATAGTATTCTCTAAACTTTAAGTTTACAAGCAATCATTTTATGAATATCCAAAATAAAATAAAAATAGTTAACTTATACAATTTATGCATGAACATTAGTTGGAAATATAAAACAGTAACTATTAGCATAGCAGTAGAAGTCATTCTAGAGATTCACTCACCTTGTGATAGCATTAGAATTTAATGTCATGCCAAGTCTGTTGGGACTTCCTGCAGTGTGTCCTGGGGTAACGAGTGTTTCTGCCTGGACTGAAGCCATGGCGAATCGGCTAGAGATAATTTCTGAAAGCCCTTATTGCTGATTTGAGAAGTACCTAAAAAAATATGAAAAGCGAAATCTTACAGAAACATACATACGATAATCGCAACACCCCAATATAATCCAAACTTATACTGACATAAACATTACTAAGTTTGAAAAGTAAAAAAAAGGAACCAAAATTTCTATTATATGCTATCAAACCATCTAATATTAATAGCACAAATTTAAAAGAGCACTAAATAAACGCAAATTTTTAAAAAAAAGGCAAATACTCAGCCATTTTAACTTTAGGATTACAATCATTGACAGTATAAAAATATATGACATTAAATTCAGCAATTTATTTTAACAAGCAAGAAACAAGAACATAATTTTCTTTTGTAACTTACTGATATCACTATGTTTATTAATTATCTTAAATTTTAAATTCAATATAATGGAGTTTTAACAATATGGCCGCCGAATCTTGTGTTAGGATTGCCGTGACGTAGAAAGGACAATATTCAGTCCCTCGGCCTTCGACAAGAACAAATATTTGTATTTTGAAACACGTTAAATTATTCAAAATTTCTTAGCTTGTAGTTTAATATTTCTCGTCAATCATTCCTAGGCATTACATCAAACAAACAGGACACAATAATCCTAATTCATTAAAACCTCTAAAAATATTTGCATATTCGTTAAATTGTTCTTCTTCACACGAATTTTTTTTAAATTTTTTTTTAAATTAATTTATTTACTTTTGAGTCGTTTGATATTTGTTGCATTTTCTTCTGATTGTGTGCCTAAAAATTATTATTAGAAATACTGTTATCTCAAGAAATATTTATAATTTTTAAAATTTCTCAACAGCCAATAAATCTATCGAGATGAACACAAAACTGAAAAAACTGAAGCTGTTTTCCCTTGTGATGAGTTTTTATAGTTTATATTAGTCAAAAAGTCGTCCTTACGTTGTTGTTGTTACTTTACGTCGCACTAGAGCTGCACAATGGGCTATTGGCGACGGTCTGGGAAACATCCCTGAGGATGATCCAGAGACATGTCATCGCAATTTTGATCCTCTGCAATGGGGATGGCACCCGCATCAGTAACCTGACGACTTGCGCGTGAAGTCGAGCACTTTACGATAGAGCAGTTTAACGAGGATCAATATCGCACACCCTCGGTCCCTTCGTAGACTGATCCAAGTAGTCACCAGCCCACCCACTTACCGCAGCCCGTGATACTTTGGTTTTCAACTGGGAACCGGTCTTAACGATTAGTCCACTGAGGGCAGTGGAAAATTCGTTGCCTAAAGTTTCTGAACCAAAGAACTTTTTAATTCGCTATCACAATGCTCGAATACGCCATCTGAGGAGAAGACCGGTCTTGACCCTTCTTCTCTTCTCAGTTGTATAGGAATGTGCTACGATATTTTCCTCTTTCTTAATATTTTTCGTATTTAATAGTCAAAACTTTTTTCTTTTTTTTTTTAAATTTCCACAACGCTTTCTTTTAGAACTTTGTTCAATATAGTTTTCACTTCCAAATAATTTCCCAACTTAAAAGTTTTTAATATATTTAAAAAATCAAGAGAGAAACCAATGGTGAAAGTATGCGAAGCGTTGCCAAGCGTAGAGAGTTCTGCTTTAAGCCCCCGGTATCCTATTTTGAGCACCAATTTAGCTTTTTAAATGCAAAGTAAATGACAGGCTTGTCACACATTGAATCAATTTTTCTTACTTAAGAATCACAGTTATTATTTTTAACAGCCATTAATTTTTCAATATTCTCAGTTTACAAAAATATTAGTTCAAGCTTTTAATCATTATAACTTTTTTCTAATATTGCGTTTGAAACTTTAACCTTTTTTTCCTTACTACTCTCTACCTACGAGTAGGGGAGGAAAGCAACTATTTTCCCCAAGTTCATCCCTTACTAGAGGGTCAGATAATTGTGACTAATCATTAATTGCTTGCCTCACTAGATGGTTTTCTTCCCTCTGAAGTATTTTTATCTATTTTCACCTCCTATTTATTTTCACCAATTGCTTTTTTGAAGAGCCAATGTGAGGAGTGGTTGAAATTAAATTCTTTTTATTTATAATTTTTTAATTTATTATGAAATATATATTCATTGCAAATTGGTTCCTTCGATATAAATTTTAATTATTTAACACGCTTTCCTCATGTTTTTTAAAGATATTTCAGAAATAAAAAATTTAATTTCTGAACAGAGTGAAATCAATCGACAACCAATGAAACCAATTGATATAATGAAGTCAAGATCTTGCATTATCCCAATATAAAGCATCACGATTTTTTTTAAAAAATTCACACTTTTTGAAATATAAGTGCCGCAAGTTGTCTTTTAGAACCATGTTCAATGTAGTTTTCAGTTCCATACAGTTTCCTGACTTAAATTTTTTTTCAATCTGTTTGAAAATCAAGACAGAAACAACTAGCATATTTCCTTCTTCTATGACAATCCATATGCGGAAGCATGCGAAGTATTGCCCTAGTTAGAATGTTCTGTTCTACGTTAACCGTAGCCCATTTCGATCTCCAATAGTTTGCTAGTTTGCTATTGTACGGTAGGGCAAAAATTACTATTGAATATATGGAATTATAAAAATATTTTGAAAATTTTGTTTAATTTAGTAAGCGAAGAAGAATATGAAACACACATGTGCAATGCAAATTGTTACGTAACGGTCTCCTTTATTGAATATTTTTAGAATTCCTTCCAAATATTCAGCAAAATAAATTCAACACTAGTGAACGCAATTAATATTTAAGTGAGAAAAATACAAAAGTTATCGAAATCTAATGACTCACTATTCAGGAAAATATCAAAACCTATTTGCACCTTGAAATTTCATCATGTTAAATTAACAATTAAAAATACCTTGCAATAATTAGAGTTAAACTCCTTTTCGTTGCCTCTGGCAATTGAACTGGTTTTGATTTCCCGATTTCTCTGTTGTGATTGGCTAAACTTTGATACAGTTTGTCTTTCGTCATTGCTTGAATCTTCCCATATAGCACAACTCATGCAGTTGATGTTCATAATTCGTCTATATCATCCATTAGAAGTCGTGGATCAAATATTGACGTCTACTAGACGTTTTCTAATAGCTTATTTATGGATTATCCACAATATAGACGTCTTATAGATAACTACGATGGTCCCCATATGGCACAAAATAAAGCAATGGATGTCTATTACTTATGATTGCAAGCATCCAAGAAACAAGAAGGTAAATGTGGTTGCCCGGTGGACGCCTACAAGACATCCATCTTTGATCCATGGAATATTGAGTAGAAGTCCATCAGCTGTCCACCATAGCTTTTACGTGAACCAGATACAGATAATCCATAGCTCATGCATTTGCGTCTCATAGAGAGCCAACAGTGGACAACTTCGATGAATAATTAGTTTGATTATGATCTACATGGCTTTGCGTCTTTCTTTGTGATAAGTATTTGTGTAAATATATTGTGAAAGAATCGAAATCTTTGTGAAAGAAAAGAATATAGGCTGTATCACTTAAGAGATTTGAAACTTGACGGGCTTGGCTTACTCGAAATAGAAGGAAAAGAACGGTTGCTAGCGTAAACAAATGTCGCATTTCAACAACGAATCAGGGTCGAGGTACTCACACTACGTCACATGCAGGTATCCCATTAAGAAATGAAGATAGTGAATAATTTATGTGAATATTGTAGAGAATAAACTATGCGTGATTTTAAAAAAAATAATTAAGATGCTAACCAGTTCTAATCTTCAAATAATAAAATAATTTTCAAAGCTATGCAAGTTAACTAAAATAATTAAATAAAATAAACATAAAGGAATAACAAATAAAAAAAAATTCAAAAGGTATGAAGTATTTTGTCAAACGAAACATTAATTGAAACATCTTTCAATGCCCAAGTACCTAAATTTTCCCTGCTTCGGTTGCCTTTTTAAGTTTTCTTGGTGATAAACTATTCAAATTATTATTTGCTTGATAATCAATCCCTATTTGTGGAAAAAAAAGCACACTTTTTACAACAGAATATATTTATTTTAAAAAATATATAAGGCAATGTTGTTTATTCTTAGTTTTTTGAATACAATTTATAAGGCCCCCTGAGGCCAATTTATGAGACCCCCTCAAAGGCCCCCTGAGTGCGTGGGATCCCCTGGCACTGCCCGAGTGTGCCATACACAAAGACGGTACTGCTCTGTAGAGTCAAACTCACTTAAGTGAGCGCCAATGTCTGCAGTATTAGCTAATTATTAACTGACATCCTGTAAAAAAAAGTCCCGCAGTGAACTGATCGTTAAGACACGGTTCCCAGCAGATCATCAAAATCAAGCATCACTGGCTGATGTCAATGTGCGGGTGGGTGACCACTTGGATCAGTCTGCGTAGGGACCGAGCGTGTGCGGTATTGGTTCTCGCTAATCTGTTCTACTGCAAAGTGCTAGACTTCGCGTGCAGGTTGTCAGGCTACCGAAGCAAGAGGGCCATCCCTTCTGCAGAGGATCAAAATTGTAATGGCATGTCTTCGTTTCATCCTCAGGGATGTTTTCCAGACCGTCGCCAAAAGCTCATTGTGTAGCTCTAGTACGATGTAAGTGAACTACAACAACAACAAATCCTGTTATAAAACGGATTCACGAAAAAATCTCAAATGTTAATACACAATTATTAAATTATAAATATAATACTTTATTTTTTTTTATTTCTGTACAGTACAATGAAAGTTAATCTACTTTGAAATGACTTTTTATTTGTGTTATTTATTTTCAGATAAAACTCATTGTTCGGAAAACAGTCATTCGTAATCTCTTTCTAAAAACGCTTGTGTGTTCTCTGAATATAACTAATTTTCAGTTGTCTTCAGATTTTTAAACAAATTTTTCGCAGAAACGTTCAGTTAAGTGGAAATATGGTAGAAATTTTATGAATCATGAATTAATGATCTCAAAAAACCCGGTTTGCTTTGTAAAAGTGAACTATGCTCAGTCAGTGCCCGACTTATAATAAAGCCCAGGCCTCCCTAAATGTTTAAAGTCATTTCCTTTCATATTTTTCTTTAAGAATCATCTAATGGAATAATGAGTTAATGAAAGTTGTAATAAATAAATGCTGAATTTACAAATAAATCGTAATTTATTCATGTTAAAATTTAAACGAACTTCATAAATAAACAACAATTAAATTTAGTTTAAAATCACTGCCCATGACAGTTCTGTGGCTAGGGTTCTCACATTTCTAGATCAGGCCTTGTCTATGCTCCAATAAACTCAACATTGTTCCCTTCAAATATTTTTGATTTATTCATTAATCCAGGTTGAACCTGACCTCGTCCTAAGAGAGTTCGACTGTTTAATAAAAGAAATAAATTATGTGATTTCTGAGCACAAATCTGTTGTATTTCATAAGATATTAAGTTATTCTGGTGAGAAGAGAAAATTTGTTTTAGTTGCATAGTTAAAAAAAGTGATAGATGTGTATTGTTAGAAAAGGAGACATCGTTGCTAGTTTTAGAAAGCACTGTTTTTTTTTACTTTTTACAGGTCTGCAAATGGTGGTTCTTCTTTTAAACACAAATAATAAATCGTGTAACAAATACACTAATAAAGGAAATACTACTCAAGAAAGTCTCAAAACACAGTGATCATGTTGTGAACCAAATGGATTCAAAACACACCAAAAACTGTAACCCGGAAGTATAGGCTGTCAAAAGCTTTTAGCACTTTCTAGTGTAAATTTTGTTCCAACTTTCATCCGTGAGCATGCGTAAAGCCTCCCTGGTCACATGTGTGCGTATGATCAATCTTCTTCTTCTTGTAAGTGCAAATACGTAATTATTATTCATAGTTGCGTGGTAAGCGCAGAGGTATATTTTGTCATTATAATGAGTCATTCAGTTTAGGACTAAAGTACTTTTTTATACTTGAAGTAGGCAGTTACAAGCGTCCTTGAGAAAGAAAAATAAATAAAGAAACAAAACTAACAAAAGACAGACGGAAATTCATGAAATCAAATCCAACAAAAATATTGAGTCAAGCGAAACTGTTTAAGTTGATGTGAGAAGTTATTTTGAAATATAATAAAAATTGAAAGCGAAAAAATATTTGTGAATAATAAGATAGTAGAAGTAAACAGAGATCTTAATTTATTGTAAGTTTCGTATTAATTTTTTTTTGTTTTGTTGTTGAGGTAAATAGAAATGACAGCAGTAGATCCAGCATTTGAAGGCGTTGGTCAGCAAGCAGGAATAGACATATGGAGAATTGAAGTAAGATTTTATTTTATAATTAAAATTAATATCGTCTGCTTAGCGTTGTTCTGCTCAAAATAAGTTGTTTTAATATACTGTTTTGTATTAAATTTTGATATCAATGCATTAATTGAGCAGATAAGTGGAAGTAATCGTTAAAATTTTAGAATGAAAGTTGTTGCATTTTATTGTTTTTTTTTTCAAGTGAGTGAACTTTGGTTATGGTAATTGTGGAATAAATCTGTCTTGATTAGAGCAGTTTTGTTCAAACAATGCGTATTATGCAGTGGTTGTAAAAAATTGCCTAATTGTTATTGACGCCGCTGACGCTTAATTGTGGTACTACGTACTACTTGTAGTCAGCAGTGTTTTCATCATAGAAAAAAAAATGGTTGAGAATTTCTCACCCTTTCTCAAACACAGGGTGAGATTTCAAAAAGTTAAGTGAGATTTCTAAAAACTAAAAAAGCATAAAAACTCTTGAAAAAAAAATCATTTCTTTAATTATAATAAATTTTTAGCGTCTTCTATTTTTTAAAGTGTTGAATATTTTTGGTGCATCCTCATAGAAGATTTTGCCTTTACAAGGTATTTGTCCATCTTACATAAGTGCATAAAAAATTTAAACGTCTTGCATGAAGAAATCTTATCTACGGTAAACACGTGGTTACAGAGAAATGTATTCTGAAAGGGGTTCCGTGGTTGTGTTCTGTTGTTCGAAAAGGTTCTGAACAATACTGGTAAATAGGGAAGCTAGATAGTGGGGCAGATGTTGAAAATAATGAAAGATCCAGGAAGAACAGTGAAACGGATTTCATTCTAAATGGCGTAATTCAAAGCTTTTTCCAAAATGCGAGAAATTCGCGAATTTATTGCGGTAAAAATTTTTGTAATGCGAGAAAAAAAAAATATGCGAGATTCTCGCGCTGTAGTGAAAACGCTGATCAGTGTCTAATATAGGTTATCGAGTGATTTGTCGCTCCAACTACTATTTCCAAGGGGCCAAATAGATTTTAAACTTGCAAATTTAAAACAAAAAAAAACGTGTAGATGTTTGCCCTGGGGTGGCTACGAGTTATACCTTTCGAGTTGGTCCTTTTCTGTGGTGTTTTTTTTAGTTTATCATGGGCTACTGCCCAGAAGTTTCCAATACTTGGCAATAATTCTGCCCCAGATCACAATATGGAAATCTCCCTTGTTATCGTTTTGTTGATAATAGTTTGTACTAAGTTCCCATTATTAAAACTCTTTAATTTACTGTTAAAATTAGCTTTCCTTGGATATAAAATTGCCGTACTACTAATATGTATCTGTTTCTAATTTTTAAACTTATGTAAAAAATATATGTATATATATTTAGAATTTTTATCTGAATTAAAGAATATTATGTATTTTTCATGAAATTTTTGTATATTTAGTGAATTAAACTTATGTATTTTTCCATGAATTGATTTCGCTAATATTCCAGTTTTTTAAATTCTCTATCACTAATTCATTTTCATTACAAAACTGTTTGTACAATGATTCACCTACTTTTTTTAGGTAATTCAGTAATTCTTAATTAGATTTTTGAGGTTTGTTTTGCATTGAAAACACCATCCATTATGTAATTTAAAAGAAAATTTTTTTTATGTGTTATGAAAGTCAGTTATGAACACGGTGTTAAATCGATTAAAAAAGTTAATAAGCATTAAAAGAATTCCTTGGAAAAAAGGACTTTCAAAGTTTATGCAAGCTAATTCATTATTCACATATAATAATTTTTTGTTATAATTTCTCCTTCATAAAAAATTTAGACACATTGGTATTCTTTTTCTTCAACATTAAGTTTGATGGCTTAATTGTCAATCTTCATTCACCTATTTGTAATGGGCAATGTGATTACATTGAATAACAGTTAAAACTCATTTTCAGTGTAGAAAAGGTTCTATAGGTGAATTTAATTGATGGAAAGAAAGTTAATATGTGAAGTAAAATTTCGATAATTGGAATGCAGTTTCTCAGAAGATATAAATTTGGAATGTGCAGTGTGTCAAACTAAATTAATTTGAAATATAATAGTAAACTCATCTTTTAGGTGCAAACAGTATGCATATATTTAATGCACAGACCGTTAATCATTTGGATTCCTATAGTGTTAAATTAATTTGAATAATTAGTACTGCATCTAAATCACCAGTTTATCAAATCATTTTCATTCAGTCTCATTCTTCAGTGAAATATTTATCTGACTCATTGGCACCAAGTTTCAAACAAGAATCTAAGGAATGGTTAATGTGAAAACAATTGCGAACTCAGACGATTTGGGCGTTTACTTTCCCAAATCAGTTTTTTCTGAACAGAGCATAGAATTTGAAAATAGTATCGACTGAATAATTTTATAAATTTTTATTATTCATGGTGCGTATCATTTTTAAAAAAATGCTTTATGGTACTTAGTTTCGATTTTCGTTTTTTAAAAGCCCTTAAAGGTGCTTTTTTCATTGGGTGTTTTTAAAAAGTGTTTAATTTTCCATTTTCGAAAATGAAATTTTTTCTTTACCCTGTCAATTTTTGCCAGGTATTATGCAAAATCGTCCTTTTCACATTGTTCTATTCAATGTTTTCACAATTCATTCAACCGCAATCCATATCGGCGTATAGTCGGTTCGTAGCCTATGAAAGTGCCCATCATTTTACTTGTTTGATGAAATACTCGAGAGTTCGAACGTAGGTCTGAGCTGGGTTCGGTGAGATAATCGTCGTGCTTCATTTTCGACCCTTCCGATATCGAACCGAAAAATCTCTTAATGTTTTTATAATGGCTGATAAAATCAAGAAAAAAATTCCTCTTCAGAAACTAGTTATTTTATCACGATCGTGTAAAGCAGGGGTGTCAAACTAGCGGGCCGCATACGGCCCGAGATGAGAATTTTTGTGGCCCAGTCAATATATCAGAAGCAAAGTAAAAATAAAATAGAAATGTGATTTAGAAATGAAACCAGCATATAAAATTATAATATACTTTATTTATAAACTATACGGATCATTTTAAATTGTATGCACGAAAATGTAAAATTCTAATTGGCTGAAATGGAGTCCGTTTCACATTAAGCTATCAATTAAATAGTACATAATCAGGTTTGTCCTACTATAGCGAGATAAGTTGGTTATCTTGCTCCAAGGTTCTCAAACAATTCTGGGATTTGAAAGAAAAAATATGTAAGTTTTTACAAATTATAAATCAAGATACAAGCTTGTTCTCCCATCAAATATGGTTGCAAGATTTATCTTTTATGGTTGATGTAACCAAGCACTTATCTGATTTAAATTTATTGTTACAAGGCGAAGATCAGATCATTACGAACAAGTTTGATATAATTAAAGCATTCATATGTAAACTATTTCTTTGGGAAAGGCAACTGAAAAATGAAGATTTAACGCACTTCCCAGTGCAACTAGAACAAATCTAGTTTAGATGATACTGCATTGTATCAAAAATACGCAGAAAAAAATTTCAAATCTTGGAACAGAATTTGAAACAAGATTTAAAGGTTTGAATTCTTTGGAAGACAGATTTTGTTTGTCTTTTTCGATTTTCTCAATAAATATAGACTCAGTACCCAGTTACATGCAAATGGAAGTGATTGAGATTCAGTGCGACTCAAATTTGAAGGCAAAACTCATTGAAGTGAGTGTGCCTGAATTTCACGAATATTTACCGGCAAGGTTTGAAAATACTCGAAAATTCGCATATGAAATTATTTCCATGTTTGGAAGTACTTATCAGTGAGAGCAATTATTTTCTGTTATGAATGGAAATAAATCTCCTGTCCGAAACCGTATTAATAACGCTCACGTTGGGTCAATTTTGAAAGTAGTCTCGGCCAATTAAATTTCTCCCGAAATAGAAAAGATAGTAGCAGAGAAGAGATGTCAAGTATCAGGACGTAAACAATAATTTAACTTTATATATGTTTATTACAATTCAAAATAAAAATATTTGTTTCTATGAACATTGATTTTTTTTTTGCGGCCCACCTAAAGTTAAGCATTGCTCATTTGGCCCAAGTTAGCTTTTCCGTTTGACACCCCTGTTCTAAACAGACCCCTGGTTATTAGCACTCTTTAAGTTTTATTTAATATTTTTAAAAACTTCACTGTAAATATTAAGATTTATATCTGACAACACATAATCTCTCTCTCTTTT